TACCTACTTGTCAAATTTTTAAGTAATAATACTAAATATAGTGTATATATATATATATATATATATATACGTAAAGGAGAATTTCAAACCTTTTGTGCTAATAATGTTTGAACAACCTGGTTGGCAACATCATCAAGACAGTGTTCATACTGTAGTCGTCGTTGTTCGTTCTCCATAATAAGAGCTCTATTTTCTTGTTCTAGATGCCCAACTCTTTCTATGAGAATTCTACATAGCGACTGTTCCCTTTGTTGCTCATGGTCTTTGTTCTGTGATAAAAGAAAAATAGCTCACATATTCAAGAAGAATCCAATAATTTTTTATGTTTAACTTACCATTCTAGACATCTTTATTTTTATAATAAGATTAATATTTTATGTAATGAAAAAATTATTATAGAGTAAAAGTTAAAAAGAGTTGAATATTTTGTGTTTCAGATGGAGACAACTATATTTGTGATTGTATAAGTCTTTGTCTCCCAGAAAAATAAGCAATACCATTTTTTTCTTGCATTTTATGTATGTATGCATGATGATTTATTCAAGGTATGCACTCATTGTAATTAACATATGCAGTAAAGATGAAATAAGATTTGACAATTATACTTAAACAGCTTACACCTAAATATCTATTTTCATCTAAGAGTTATGTTACATCATCTTTGTATAAAACTTTTATGAATATATTCATAGTTAAATGTTTTCCTAAGAATGTAAATTTTCTTGTAAAAATAGTAGGTTTTAATTTATGATTTTCCAGTTGTTTAATTGTTCAGTCACTTTAAGTTGGCCGTTTCTTGTATTACAGTTGTACAAAGGAGGGACAGATAAGGAGAACTAACATAATATAGCACCACATATCACTTTCACAAAACAAAGAATAACGTTATACTAATAATCATAGCTAATAAGTCAAATAACTTCTTGTCTAGCATTCAGATCAAAGTAAGCAGCTTTCAACAATAAAAGTTTGACTATGGAATGCAAAATTTCTGTTAAAAAAAACATCTAGCAATAGTACTGTGAATTATGGTCTAGTAAAAAAAATTATAAATCTACTAATAAAATTAAAAAAGGTATGAAAAAACAAGGTTTTATTTTAGTATGGATGAGAAAAATGTTGGTAATACAAAAATAACAAACGTTATTTACACATTCATTTACAACAAGCAAAGTATTAAAACTGATATCACACAAAGGTTTTGAAATACCAGTGTAAACTAATTTCAATATAATCAATGTAAGACAATAAACACAATGTACAAAATGATTAAATTATACATTGCTGAACCCATTTAGATAAATGCTACTCTCTAAATAATGTTATAATCAACTTTATAAACTTAAAAAAGAAAATGAAACTAGTTAAATAAAGAAAGTAAAACTATGTAAACTATAAATGAAGCTTACTGAAACTTCTAAGCTCTGAAGTTCATTCAAAAGCATGAAATTTTCTTTTTCCAGAGAAGCCAAACATGTCTGATACTTCCTGATTTTGTTCTGTAAGTAATATAAATAGAATATTTAACTTGTAAGTTTGTATATCTAATTACAAATTCCTTTAGAATTATCTTTTCAATTACTTACTGGTTATAGAACACCTTAAAATTTTCATTACATGTTTTGCTTTGGCTCACTTCTTTGGGTTGGACCAGTTTCTTGAATACCAACCTATCATCAATAATATTGGCTTGAAATAAAAAAAAGTAGCGATTAAGCTTGACCTAAAGCATAGGTTTCAACAGACATGAAGATGATTGTGTTATCTATTTATGAATGAAAAGTAATACTATCCCTGCAAATTTTATTGATGGAATAACTTAATTAAAACTCAATTATTCACAGACAGTGAAATCTACAGTAATGACATCAAAATGACCTTTGACAAACGTTTGTAGCTACTGATTGATATCTCACCACACCTGCTAAAAACTACTTTAGTAACACTGTTACCAACTAGGGAAACAAGTTCTGTGTGTACCATTCATGTTTCATTTTATCAGTATAGTAAAACTCAAACACCAATAAATTTTATGCATCATAGGACAGTTTTCTAAACACACACAAAAATGAGTTCCCCCCTCCTAAAAGACTACAAAATGACAAAGATATTTTTTCATCAGTATGATATCATTTTAATCCAAGAAGCTACTAATTATAATATTTAATACTTTTACAATGTCTTAAAAAACGTAATGCAAACCTTAAAAGTCAGGAATCTATAATTTCAAGTAAACTTTACTAAAAACAAACATACTGTTTTCCTGTTAACTTGCAGAGTCTAACTTTTATTATATTACCTTTGAAATACCTAAAAATCAGGACATTTACCAAGACTCTTGTATTTATTATTCAAGATCTGAATATTTTCCATACATATTTCTTGAGATAAAAACCAATACAAAACAAAACAATACAATAC